CCCAAGGTCACCCCATGGGTTTCCAATTCCATGGCCAAGTAGGAATTCAAACTCTGCCTCCAGAGTTGTAGTCCAGTGCTCACATCACTACAGCTCTCTTTTTCATCTGTGCACAGAGTAAAGCCTGCATACATAGTTGTAGAGAAGAAGCCTGAGGGCTGATTCTAATGGACAACTAGCTAATAAATGGACTTGCATAGGTCTATACTGTGACTTTCCTTATTAATAAATAAATGCAAGGTTGTAATAGTAATATTCTTTACCCTTTTACATGAGAAAAAAGCTAATATTTCCTTTAAATGTGATTGCATAAATACCAATGTATTTTTCTTCTACTTACTTTATAAGCTTATAGTAGTGTGCTCCCATTTTTAGTTAAGGTAGCATAGTGTTTTTTAAAAAATTAAAAGTTTTTAATAAAAGGCCAAAATGAAGTTAGCATATCAATTCAATGTGAATTTATTTTAAATACATTGAAATTTGCATGACGGAAAATAAAGACAATCTAACTTGTGTACGGTTGTTAGAGTCATTTCTAGAACACAAGAAGGGGAAAAAAATGAGATGTGTCTTTCATCAATACCTGATCTTTTTAATCAAGTAAATATACTCTAATAATGATACAAATCCTTGTTGGGTGCCAATTGACTCATTATTACAAACAACAGCCTAGAATTGCTTTTTGGAAATCTGTTTTGTAACCACATATTAAAATGGTGTCACTGTTTGAATATCAAGAATAGACTGATGGCAAGTTAAGCAACCCAGCTTTTCCAGTAAAAGGGGTTAAATAGATATGAATGAATACAGAAATAAGCCTTTTAATATTCTGAAAATATTAACAAAGAAAAATGATAATGTTGAGTTAATGTGGGTTAAGGATGAAATTAAAATAAATTTTTCTGATTGTGAAGTGTTGACACTTTTTTGGCGAGTCCCTTAATTTTTTTTCTCAAGGCTATGTAATTACAGAAGGCTTTTCCCCTCCTTCCCCCTCCTGCTTTGAGCCCACGTTAGTAATGACCCTTTCACTGCTTCAAAAACCACTAATAGTCTTCAGCAAAAGGCAAGAAAAATGAACAGGATAAATTGGAATCCACAGTCAGTAATTTGCATCATATGAGGCTGCTTTGACCACTCACACTCATTCCTGGCCATCAATCCTTTGCTGTCAGGTGCTGCACTCTGCCATCATGATAAATACTCCTCCTAACACTCTGATTCGTCCAAACAATGTAATTGTCCTCTATTCTCCTCTTGGTAATGGAGATAATGAATGACTGCACAAACAAGAAGGATTGCTCGTCACAGACACAGGAGTGGTTTCAAACTGAAAAGCCTTAAGTACAAATTTTAATTGACTGATATTCCAGGCTGGAGGAAAAGATGGGGAACAATCTACATTTTGTGCAAGCTTTTTTCTTTGCCGTTAGAGAGAGACTGCTCTCTTCTAAGGAAATACCCACTAAGGATTAATCTATGAATGGGGTGGATAAAGAAATAACATACGAAACATGGTTCTGTCCGAGATGGTTTATTATCTTAATGACATTATTCCAGAACTATGATAAAATAATATTACTTGGCAACCATTAAAATGGAACTAGTCCAGTTCTTTAAATATGCATAGCATTAGTGAGGATAACGTTTTTAAGATTGAGATGTAACAATTGGCTTGGGGAGCAAAATGAATCTCTATCCTAAATGTACAAAAAAAGGATGTTAACCGCTTCTTTTTTTTATTAATGCTGTTGAGGATCTCAGTCATAATTATTCATTAAAAAACAGTATGTCAAACATAATCCTGAAAAGGCATGGTCAATAAATGCAATGCTGAGCTGGTATATGTATTTGAAACTTGGTGCAATCCTGAGACAAACAAATCAGCGGGGAAACTGTTTACATCCAATTGTGTCAACTTATTCCACTTTGATTTTAGTGGGATAAGTACTGCAACCAGATCAATGTACGACTAAGATCAGCTAATTAGAGAAATTCACCCTGCACAAATGGCCTTTATTATTCTCAATTAAAATCCAGGAACAAAATGGCAGGAATCTTAAACATGGCATTCTGTATTTGTGTTTTCTCCTTCTTTCTTAAACCAGTGATGTTATGGCTTTTTAAACAGAAAGGGGACTGTTTATCTAAAAGTGTTTTGGCAGGCCGCCATCATATTTTTAGAATTAAATAAAGGATTTGAAAACAATCAGCATTTTGAACAGTTCAAACCACAGCAATATGTTTTAGATTAATACACAAATATATGTATATATTTAAGACTAAACTATAGAGCTAGAAAATTCCTACTAGTTAGTCTATCACATGCCTTATTACACTTTATTAGAACAGACATCATATTGAAATAATAAACATGGGAGGCTTTCACTTTTTCTTTGATCTATATTACTAAATGTCTAACTTACTCAGTTTTAAAATAAATTCTAGTGTGTTTGCACTTTGAGACTCAAAAGAGACCACAAAACATAATTTGTTGTCACTTTTCATATGTTTAACTAAAATGGTAGTTTAGTCTGTTCATTTCTGGGTGCCAGGCAATGCTCATCTAGATCCGCA